ATATATATATATATATAAAATATAATAATATAAAAAAAGAGTATCGAACACCTTTTACGACATTGAAGTAAGTATGTAATTTTATTTTTGAAAATAATATTAGATATATTAATTATCTAATTAGTTGAAAAATTTTATTTATATATGAATAAATTGAAAAAATATAATATGAAAAAATATATGAATAACATTATATTATAATATTATACTTTGATTAATAAAATTCCACATAACATAAAACATATTTTTTTAATTCTTACATTAAAGATAGAATAAATTATTGTATTAAAAAAAAATAATAATAATTATATTTTTATATTTTATCGATGTACATATTATCGCTAAAAAAAAAAACGATTAAATTCACCGATTTCGAAGAAAAAATTATAATTCTATATTTTTATGCCCTATCAATATTTATATATGTATTGTCGCTAAAAAAAGGACAATCGACTCGATTGATTCCTCGATATTTGTATAGATAGCGTCGCTTGTTTGTTCCCTATCGATTTAACAAATTCGTGAATTAAATATTCCGATATTTATATCTCCGTGTTTTAAAATAATTTATTATTATTAGAAAAAAAAATTATTATTGATTGATTCCACATCCATAGATCGCGCCATTAATTTGTTCCTTATTGAATTAAAAAATTCGTGAATATTCCAATATCTTTTTAAAATATTTTACAGTTTCGTTTCTTTAATAAATGTTTTTGATAATTTTATTCTTTTTTTTCATATATTTTGAGAAATATTTTTTCTATTCGATTTGTATTACGAATAGTATATCTTTTGATTTATTTATAAAATAATAACAATACATATTTTTTTTATTTTATTATATATTTCTTATTTATTTATAAAACACAACGAAAATGCATGATGATAATTTTTTTTGTTTCTTTTATAATAATTTCGTAAATTAATTGAGATATTTATTTTTAACTGAGATATTTATAATCGGAAGATTTAGAAAAAGCTTTTTTTATTATTTACATGACAAAAAAGTATGATTATAATTACATAATAATTGCATCGAATTATTAAAGAATATGGTCGAGATGTGGTCGAATATTTTTTTATAATTATACTTTGATGTAGTACGATTATGATAAAAATGAATGTTTTATGAACATTCGGTGATATTCGTTCGGTGAGATATAAG